TGGATGTGATTTCATGCATACATTACTGAGTGTTAGTAAAACTAGAACAGACACCCACTTGCAGTCATAAAGTTCTCTCTGTGGCTCCTAAGGGACCCATGAGTTTTTTATACAGTTGCACAGCTGGTTTATGTGTACCATTTCAAATGGGCAGAACTCAGCCTTCTACATTTGCCTTGAAACTATTTAATGGCTGGAAACTTGTCTGCAATGCAGCTTTTCAAAGAGTTACATGTTTTAGCAGTCACAGATAATGCCAAACGATTCTTTTGGAAAAAAAATCAAGATCTTTTAGTCAATAAAATAGAAAAATGATTTTGGAATTAGAGCTAAAACAAGTGTTGTATTTATATTTAGGCTGATATTTCACAAAAAAGCATATTGTCATTTCTTTTGAGATATGTGACTATGCTACAGATATTCCATGTTTTTCTTTAAAGGCTCAATGTAATTTATTTGGTAAGAAATTTTGCTCATCATCATAAATCAGAGAACGGTATGATGTAATTATTTATCCTAGATGTTTCTACCTTTATAGCCCTTTTAAAACTCTATTTGGTTTTCCTCTGATGTTATGAATATGGGTTTCTAGATTTAACAGATAGTTCTGCCAGTAAACACTGTGAATCCTTCCACACAATATGTAGTGTGAGGAGTTGCCCCTCTTCCCTACCCCAACTCCTGCCCTTTCTCTTCAATGATCTGAGCTTTATTTTTATTGCCCTGTATTTTTTAAATGGTGATGAGTAATTTTATTGGTCACATTGCCCAATAAATTTTTAAACATCTCCCAATATGCCACAAATGAGCAACATTTCATATGGTTACTGACAACAAACTATTAAGTCAAGAAGTCTTAAATCCAAATAATTGAAAGGTTCTGTCTTAGACTACTGATAGAAGCTATGCATGACTCTTAGCATGGCAAGATCACTATAAAAGGCTGAAGGAGGTTTGTATAGTAACCTATACATGCAACATGTATTTCCTGTGGTACTCATGAGAAGACAGACATGAGAATGTGATCTTATGTTAGAATGGATTTATTTCCTTAAATTTCTCAGGTTATCAACAATATATTTTATGTTGTAAAGAGGTCTTGCTTTCTACAATCTGTTGCTGTAGATGTTTTTAAACATCTTTGAAAAACAGATTGATGTAGGTTCTGAAAATGTGATCCAGGGAGCTCTGGGAATCTTTGAGATCCTTTCATGAGTTCTACAATATCAAAACTATTTTCTTAATTACACTAAAGCTTTTTGGTTTTTAATGTGGTAAGTATAGATCACTGTGACCCACATAAACAAAATCCCTCTGAGGTCCTCAATAATTTTTAATAGTATAAATGAGTGATGAAACCAAAATGTTTGAGAACTGTTGGTACAGGAGATCGATAATTGGAGAATCAAGAGACTTGCATCATAGGCCAGGATTTGCCAATTGCTACCTGATCATTCTTGGTCTAACATTTCTATGACTCACTTTCCTTGTCCATTGAGTGAGGAGATTGGATTAGATGACCTGTCAACTCCTTACTAAATTCTATGATTCTCTGTATAGAAACTACTTTTATTATATAAAATTATAAGTATATTTTATTTTATAATACTATAAGAAATATCTATTTTATATAGCTATGTTCCATTCCAAGGAGAGTCAAGTTTTTTGCAGACTGGTTATTAAGAGAGACATTTGAATTCAAAATTAATAAGAAACCATATCAATTTTAGACTGTTTGGGCTTGTCACTCCCTGCAGATGGGAGTACATGGAGATAAACTGGATTATTTTCTCCATATTCTTTTTTATTCTCATTTTTCTACAGCAATTATTCACTCATCAGTTCAATACTCATTTATGAAGCACCTCATGTGGAGAACACTGTATGAAATGTTGGGAATACCAGGAGTATTCTGGTAAATGTCTAAAAACCAGCTTTCCAAGGAAAAAATATGTCCACATGATATACTTTTAAGTTTAATGTACATTATTTACATTTTCTCCATTACTTTCTTAAGTCTAGAATCTAGACAATAAAAAAAACCCAGTAAATAAAAGCCTGGTTTGTTAGCATTTGCTAATTTCCAATGTACAAGTGCTCATGTTGAAAATTTGATGATTGGTTTTCCTGGTTCTATTTTGAGCAGGGGCCACTTCAACCTTGATCATATACTTGGAGTTCATTTATAGCTTGGTCCCTGCCTCCATAGAGTTTTCAGTTTGTTAGGGGGAAATACGAGCTAGAAATTCCCTATTTATTAATAAGTGTAACATTTCTAAGGAGAAACACCTTGAAATTTGTATAAATGGTATATTTGGTTTCCTGTAACCAAAATGGGCTAGAATATAAAGATAAAAAAAAATAGCTATTATTAATTTCTAATTTTAAAACATTACTGCTAGTGTAAGTTGTTTTATATCTGTAAATATTTAAGTAAGCTTGTCCTGGATAACTATGATCATAGTTAATTGATTGCTATAATCAGTGGATTTGCATTAGAGGAGTCATTTAATTTGAGGTTACTGAATGAATTTAGAGTGCAAATGAAATTCATTTAACAGCATATTTTCATATTATTAACTTTCATATTTATCATGAAGAAAATGACTGGTAAAAAGCATTTTAAACACTTCTAGCTTTTATCCTGGGTGAGAGTATGGGTTTTCTGGCAAGTTTAGTTAGATTCAATTCAACACACGTTTATTAAGTACCTACTATGGTTTGCACTGTGCTCAGTGCTGGAAATCATACAAAAACAGAATTGCCCCCACCTTCAAGCAGCTTACATTTCCCTGGATGAATACATAACATTCACAACTTGAATACAAAATAGATTTGCTCTCAGACCATCACATTATTTATATTTTGTTAGTGTTTGATTCCTACAACAGAGGAAGGGAGGGTTTTTTTTTCCTTCACTATTTCAAACTAGAGTTAACCTGACACATTATTTTCTTTCATAATTTCATGGTATAATAGCATAATAATATGATCTCTCTCACTGCTGTTCTCATCTCTCCCCTACCCTCTCCCCTACCAACAAAAAATTAACAAGTAATGTCTACCAAGCTTAAACCATATCAACTTAGTTGAAACAATATACATTTAGGAAAAGCCTGTTCAAATATGTGTGATTGATACACATCCCCCTTTGCAGGTTTTCAAGTTGCAAACTACCCTGAACCTGCGTGGGGGGAGGGGGATCCTTCGAAACTTATGGACAACAAAAAAAAATTTTTTTTACTCTTACAATGATGGAAACCAATTTGTGCCATTTAAACCTATGAACTATAGGTTATAGGATGAAGTCAAGCTTTATATATTTGAAATATATGTGTGTTTGTATATGTATAGTTGTTCAGTTATTTCAGTTGTGTCTGACTCTTTGTGATTCCATTTGTGGTTTCCTTGGTGAAGATACTGGAGTGGTTTGCCATTTCCTTCTCTAGTTCATTTTACAAATAAGGAAACTGAGGCAAAAGCATTTTATAGGTAGTGATTTTTACAGTAAATAGAGTGCCTGGGGCTGGTGTCAACAAGACTTATCTTCTCAAGTTCAAATCTGCCTTCGGAACCTGACTGGCTGTGTGACCTTGAGTGAGTCACTTTACCCCCTTCCACTCAGTTTCTTATTTTTACATAAAATAAGCTAGAGAAGAAAATGACAAACCACTCCAGTATCTTTATCAAGAAACCCTCAAATGGGGTCATGAAGACTCAGACATGACTGAAACTCTCTCTCTCTCTCTCTCCCCCCTCCCATCTGCCCAGGATCACAAAGCTAGTAAGTGAGGCTGGATTTGAACTCAGGTCTTCTTGACTCTAGGCATGGCACTCTATCCATTGTAACACCTCGCTGCCTATACACACAGACACACAAACACGCACACATGTATATATGTGTGTGTGTTTGTGTGTAAAATCAACTACTATCTGTTTAATTCCCTAGATTCTTAAAAAAAGTAAGCTGTAATTCTTAAAAATGAGCTTTTTAAAAATGGATTTTTAAAATTTCTAAAAAATGAGTTTTTTTCTTAATTCTTTCATTATTACTCAAATAATCCCAGACCAATCCTGAGAGATTTTTAAAACCTTTTCTGAGATTTTTTTTTTCTCATTTGTATCAGGATGATAGTAGTTCCTGGTAATTGCAGGTTAGCATCTCTCTAAAATACACAGCATTGTAACATTAGAGGTGATGATATTGTTTTCCTGTAACTCTGACTTTTATAGAAAGTCCATCTGCAAAAATCCATTTGCTGTGAAAAACATTAATTCTTACTGCAGACAATGCAGTAAAGTTTCTCTAGTTTAATACTTTTTTAGTCGACTTCAGAGTGGTTTCTTTTTAGAAGATTTGTAGCATCATAATTTCAGAATCTAATCTGTTGCTTGACAGTCGAGAAAGCTTTGGTCTCTGAGAGTGAGCAGAAAAGTTAAAATTGCAAAAATGAATGTTGTACATAAGTCATCCAGTTTGTAGCATGGATACAGAATGATGCAGTTTGGTTTTACTTGTCACACTATATGGGTTTTTTTTTTTATCAGAATACATGGATTAAATGTTGTAATGTCATTAAAAAGAAGGCAATTACTTGAATGAGTCAAATTTCTTTGCTTGCCCTCAACCCACATTGTTTTCAAAGGTAGGAGAATCTATTCCAGATGAACGATATTGTGGCATATGAAATGTTACAGCTGTAACTGAGTGTGTTACAGTGGCTGTTAAGTAACTGGAAGATTCATTGCAGCCTTCAAATTAGGATCACTATCTTGTGACTCACTGTTCCTTTGGGAAGGTCATAATTGTACAGTGTGTGCTACACCATACATAAACAAATATACTACATCCGAAGGAAATCTTGGTGCTCATTTGTAGGCTTTATTGCATCAAAGTAGTTATGATTTTCCTGTAATCTAATATTTATCATTATGCCCAATAGCTAGACCTAGAATCCTCATTGTTGAGTAATATTTTTGCTTTTTATCTGGGGCTTCAGATCCATCTGCTCCACCGGCTCCAGCTAATCTCAGAATTGCCAACTCCACTACTAACAGTGATGGAAGTGTGGCTGTAAGGATTATTTGGGATGTGCCAGAAGAACCTGACATTCCTGTGCATCACTACAAAGTCTTTTGGAGTTGGACAGTCAGCAGCAAGTCAATTGTGCCATCTAAAAAGAAGAGAAGAAAGACAACTGATGGGGTAAGGTATAAATTAGAAAGAGGGGTTAATGTTCTGGGTGTGCTGGAAAGAGAGTGTAATAGATCTAAGAAGTAAGGTTCCACTGAGGTTAGAGACAGAAATGATGAAAGTAATTATGTGTGTGTGTGTGTGTGTGTGTGTGCATACACACACACACACACACACACACACACACACATACACACACACATAAACACAAATATATGGAAGTATATACATACATATACATATATATATACACATATACTATATGTATGTGTATATATACGTACATATATATGTACATATATACACATACTATATATATGTGTATATACACACACACACACACACACACACACACACACACACACACACACACACATATATATATATATATACATATATATATATATGGAGAGAGAGAGATTGAAGGATAGGGAACATTTTGGTAATTTTGTATCTTGATTTTAGAAGGAAAAATAGAGTTCAATTCCTTGTTCAGCTCATGCCCAAGTGACAGTCACAGTTCACAGAAATGGAAGGAACAATTTCAATTATCTCTATCACAGATGTTTAGAAATTGAAAAGGCTATAACCCAGAGTTGTTTATCTACAGATGTGGGGCTTTAGCTTTTAGGGTTCCTGTAAATGGAGGAAGAAACTTGCATTTTGTTTGTATGTCATGATATTTACATCTGTAATCCAGTTCCTTGAAAACTCAATAGACTAGAAAACAAACCTGGGGAATTTCCCTCTCTCTCTCTCTCTCTCTCTCTCTCTCTCTCTCTCTCTCTCTCTCCCCCCCCCATCTGCCCATCTACCACAGTTATTTAGGATAGTTTGTTGCCCAGAAGAAAACAAAATTTCTTTTGATATATTTTGCTGAAATGAGATTTCAATAACATTGAACATCCTGGGCCATGTGCAGTAGCTGATATAAAACAACTGATGTGGTTTATTCAATTTTCCTTTAGTTCGTAATATTTTAATTTTGCAGTATTGTGACAGCATGAAAAGTACCTTCTTCTAAAGAGCTTTTCTGATGTCCCATCATGGTGTCAAGAGGATCCTCAAGTCTTGAAGGGTATACCAGTAGAGCTTAAGTTCTGGGTAGGCCCATCAAATTGAATAGGGAATTGGTGACAGTATTCTTCACCTGTTATCTGAAGAAAAAACCTCTGTCAGACTGAGACACTCATCATCAGGAGGTTGGTCACCGTGTGATTGTTTTAGTATTTGGCCACAACAATTCATAAAACTATCTTCAATGTCAGGGAGATGTAATTTACACTGATCAGGGATCAGAGATCTTTTTCAGTATTAAAATATGAAAAGCATTTTATAGGTAGTGATTTTTTACAGTAAATAGAGTGCCTGGGGCTGGTGTCAACAAGACTTATCTTCTCAAGTTCAAATCTGCCTTCAGAACCTGACTGGCTGTGTGACCTTGAGTGAGCCACTTTACCCCCTTCCACTCAGTTTCTTATTTTTACATAAAATGAGCTAGAGAAGAAAATCACAAACCACTCCAGTATCTGTATCAAATGGGGTCATGAAGAATCAGACATGACTGAAATGACTGAACTACAACAATGTATAATATGAAATGAAATTGAGATTAAACAAAAAAAAATTAATTGAAAAAAATTATGCCTGGTGTGATTACTTTTGTGGTGGTATGCATAATTGGGAGAGCCAACTTGTTATGGTGTGTATAGAACTGACCTCAATAGTCAAAAAGTGCTTGTTTCAATTCCTGCTTCCAACATATATTGGCTGTGTGTCCCTAGGCAACTCATTTAACCTCTTAGTTCCCTAGGTAGGTCTCTAAAGGTAGAGGGAATTTACTCATCTGGGAATTCCCTACATCATTGAAGTCACATATCTAGTCCCTCTTCCTATGGATTATGATACTAGGGTTATCTGAGTCCTGTGTTACGTGGTTTTATTTTGATTGCCTTATGAAAATATATTTCCATATTCATCTACTATATTGCTTTCTGTATAGCTTATATGATCCTCCTTATCAAGATTAATTGAATTCTAAAGAGATTTTTAGGAATTTATAATTCTCTGTGCTTTCTCTATTTAAAAGAATGGAAGTTGTAGAAAATGGTAGCATTCTCAAATGAAACAGAAAATGAAAAAATCTTGTTCTGATCAATAATCCATCAGTGTCAAGGCAGAAGCAGAATAGGTTCTAGTTTCTTTCATTTACTTAAATATCAGGAATATTGAAGACGCGACTTAGTTGAAAATTTTAAAGTGTGATCATTTGAATAAGAAGGAAAATGTAAATTTAAATGATCCAATTGTCTTCCTTTAGACTGGTGATTCATAAAATAAGACAAAGCTTAGGGATAGGCAAAGTAGATCACTCCCTAAAGTATAATACACAGAGCACTTAATAAAAATACTTTTTTCCATCTTACTTTTGGAAATAGAAAATTTTAAATGCCAGAGAGTTCTCCATAAGAGATATTTCTTTTATAGTGTGATTTTGCATTTGTTATAGTAAAAGCTCAAAGCTACCTGATACCAATATGCCAAGAAAAAGGATGATGCCTTTAGCAGAGAAATTGTTTGAGATGAGCCATCATCACATCATCATCTATTATTATCCTTTGTCATCTTCTCTGTTACTGCCTGCTAAGATCCCTGGCTTTGGTTCATTGCTAGCAACTCCCTTTCTTGCCTTTTACTTAGTTGTGAATTTTGTTATTCTACGAACTCTGGCTTGATTAAACACAGCATAAATATTCTTAGAGTATAGACCAGGTCAAGTCAACAAGTCAACAAACATTTATTAAGTGTCTGTTATGCTCAGGTACCTTACCAGACACTGGGTAGGGTCTGCTGGTGCATTCTGAGAGAGCATTACCATAGATTCTTCACATTTCCTTTAATAGGAGAATCAGTAGTAATGCTCCCTGTAAGTGTGATGTCATACCTAGTCTCAAATTTATGCAAACTTATGCATGATATCTCTTAGATCATGACTTGAAGATCTTTTCCTTAGGATGGTTGACCTCTCATCATGGACATATATTTGATCCTCTCCTTTTTCCCATGTAAAAGGCATTACAATCTCCTTTTCAAATCAAAGCAATTGGCTCCTTAACTCAGCTCACACAATGGTTTGTGGCTCTGCAAGCCCTTTGGGGTTTGGAGAGGTGAGGGTGGTATGTTCTGGAGGTACCAATGTACTAACAACCATTGGGCTGGACTTTTTCAATGCTGGCTACTCTCCAGGGTGCATTTGATGCCTTGAAGAAGCCAACAAGTAGTCCTGGATCTGGGCAGTTAGCTGTTCTGCCTTCCAATAGCACAATGATTGTCTCATATCCTTTCAACTGGAAAATAGAGGACCTCTCAAGGTTTCTGATGCATATTGTTTCTAGTTCTCTATCCTGGGCACTCTCCATTTTCCAAGCCAAAGATTTAAAGGCAAATGTCTTTTCCTGGGCAGTAGAGATTTGGCAATTTGAGTTGTAGGCACATAGAGAACACATTTTTAAAAAACTTTTCCTAGGTTACCACAAATGTGTTGTTTTAGATCTTTTCCCAATCTTCGTGTTGTAGAGTCTCAGTCACTTTTACCTTCTTAAAGGATGTACTGAAATTCTCAAGAAATTGTTTACTCAAGAAATTCTTTACTACTTTAAGTAAAAATGTAAAGGCTCTTATCAAAGCATTTTTTTCTTAGGCATAAATAGTGTAGAGAATTGGCCAGGGTAAATTCTCAGCTTTTATATGACATTCTCTTACCTTGGGAGTCAATGTTTGAGAGACAATCTCTTCAGAATTCTGACTATATTAAGAGTCTGTTCACGCACACACACACACACACACACAAAATTATTGTATATCTACCTAGGTGTATAATGACATAATTTATTAGTAGATGCTTATTTGTCTTTCTGTATATGTTCTTTTGTTCCTGCAATTGAAGCCAGGTAGTATTAGGCTCTCTTTCGTAAGAGTATTTGGAAATAATTGCTTCCATTTTCATAGCCCATTAAAGTTTACAAAATTTTGTAAGTATAAGAATCCTGTGGGTATAGTTAGTTTAAATGTAATTACTCCAACCTTTCAGATGAAGAAACCAAGGTTAAAAGAGATTTAAATGACTTACCCAGGGTCATAAAATTAGTAACAGACTTATCCAGGTCAGTGACTCCAAGTTTAATGTTTGTCTCACTATACAGTTTAGCTTGTGTGAATAATAATAATAATAATAATATTAGTAACTAGTATTCATAAAATGCTATAAAGTTTGTGATGAATTTTGCAAATAGCTTATGTTATTCTCACTTTATCTGTGGGAGGTAGGTACTATTATTATCCCCAGTTAACAGATGAGCATATAGAGGCACATGGGTTGTGACTTTCCCATGGTCACACAGCTAGTAAGTGTCAGACTAGACTGGAACTTAGGTCTTCCTGAACCCTGTCCAGCATGAATTTGCTGTATCAACTAGCTCTCTTTCCCATGAAGAAACCCTGTTATATCTGGAATCAACATCTTTCACTTTATTTATGTTGGAGAAAATAAGAGCTAGTGCAGGGGGGTGGGGTAGGGTGAGTCTTTTTTTAGAAATTAAGTAAAAGGAAATAGAATCTGGAGGCAGAGACCTAAGTTCAAATCTCAGCTCTGCTATTTATTACCTAAATGACCTTGGTCAAGTCACTTAATCTCATTCAGCCTTTGGGCAAAATGAGGGAGTTGATTAGATGATCTTTTTGGTGCTTTCCAGCTCTAAATCCTGTCTCTCCTGAGACAAGATGTGTGATTTATAGTATTTTTAAAATTTGGCCTCATACCCTAGGATCTGAAAAAAAATGTTTATTTTCCTGGATACTGTTTGTTTCTTCTTAAAGTGAAGTGCTGAAGTGTTATTGTTGTTGCTTTTTTTTTTTAACAAAAACCCTATACTTTTAAAAACTGAAGCAATATACAATTTCTACTTAACTTTTAGCTTATTGAAAAGGCAATTGACCAGAACATCTCATCTGCTTTTATTCATCCTTGATATAAGCAAAAGAATTCAGACTCTAGCAGGCAAAGCATATGGACCAAAAAGCAAAATAAAACAAAACAAAAAATCCAAGCCCCCATAATTTACAACTTAAAAAGGTGGAATTTCTTGTTGGTAGCATCACATATAATTTATATTACTTGACAGGACTTAAACCCAAAACCTCAATAAAACAGATAAACAAAGGATTGGGATGTTCTGGTTAATTCAACCACAATAGTTAAATAACCAATAACCAATGGTTAGTCAGGTCAAGATTAATCAGAATTTTTTTCATTGTTTCAATTCTAAAAAATTAGTATGTTTTCCCCCTATGTCTCCATTTTACAGAGGTTTGGGAGGTATTCTCATCTGTTTCAATTATTTCAATGTCACCTATACTCAGATTATTCCCAGCTCTCTCTATATATCCAGCTTTAATTTCTCTCCTTATCTTTTATTCCAAATTCTCACATACTTCCTATATATTTCCATCTCAATAGCACTTCAAATTCAAAATATATAACACAGAACTCATCACTTCTTACTGCTACATATGATGACACCACCCTGTTTCTGATGAGGGCACAATCATCCAGTCACTGAGGTTTATGTTTATTTCTTTCTCCCTCCCCCCCACCCTATATCTAACATGTTGTCAAGTCTTATACATTCTATATCCACAACATTTCTTACATTTTTTTTCTTTTTCTTGACTCATACTACCAAAAACCTATATATTCACTTATCATCTATTTTAATGTCCTTCTAATTAGTCTCCTTGCCTCTTTCTTCTCTAGATATCTCCATACAACCACTAAAATAATCTTGCTAAACACAGATCTGACAATGTCTCTTCCTTCTTCAAAAACCTCCAGTGGTTTCCCTTATTGGCTGTAAGATAACATACAAACTCCTTGAACTGGCCTTTAAGGCTGCCCACTCACTCACCATGTTTGCCTTACTTTAAATTCCCCTCTTGATGTACTCTCTATTCCAGACAAATTGTACTATTAATTTTTCTCTGTACTTGCCGTTCTGTGTCTGTGAATTCTCATAAGTCATGTGTTATGTTCAGAATTCTTTTCCTTTCTGTCTTTGCCTTTGTATTCCTTCTTTTTCCTTTCTCTGACACATACTAGCTGCATCATCAGGGGATATTCTTTAGTAGCCTAGGCAATTCTCTAAGACTCTTTGCAGAAGTGGTTCCAGCCTACCTCAATTGAGTTCCATCGTTTGGAAGTTCCATATGTAATTGAAATTGAAAGTACAGTCTATACTATTCTTCCTATTTTCTGTGCTCAACTCAGAAACCATCTTTTCTGGGAAATATTGTTTGATCTCTTTAGGCATTAGTACTCTCTACCTCTTTTCAAATTTTTGAAAATGTATTTTTCTGTTTGCATATTGTATTAGATCAAGAGTACCTAAGCTCCTTGTGGACAGAGGTTATTGTTTGTATAACCACAGTGCTTAGCTTTCACATAATTTGTCAAATTTGAATTTGAGTCAAGTTACAAGAAGAAAAACTTACAAAGATCAAATCAGTGGGTAGCAGAATTATTTACAATCTAAACCTTCTAATAAGAACATTATAGAATCGTAATGTTCATATTCATTTTGAGCTGACTTTGATTATTTCAATATCCTGAATAATTAAGGAAAGATTGGGTTCATATAGTTATATTTATTGAAGCATAGGTTTATGGCAATAATACTTGAGAATTTCACAGATTAAAAAATATTTATATTTTATTAATTGAATTTATTTGTTAACAACCTAAGCATAATTTAAAGAAGTTCATGTTTTGTCTTTTGATTTTTGCTTTACTCCTATATTTAGTGTCTTTAAAAAAAAGAAATGGAATTTAAGACACATTAAAACTAAAGGTCACATTGAGGTGTTATAATCACTAGTGAAATGATTTATCTGTTTCCTAAAAGTAACATTCTAAAATTGGTAGACCTCTATTCAATGGAAATTAGAATCTTTCTAATGCTTCAATTGTGTTTACTTCTGTTCTTTTCAATTATAGTCTCAAAATTATGTGATCCTGGAGAGTCTTCAGCCAAATAACAACTATATGGTGGAAATACAGGCCATAACTTACTGGGGACAAGTACGCCTAAAAAGTGCTAAAGTGTCTTTTTACTTCACTGCCGCACAAGCAATAAGTAATAGTAAGTATTTCATATTTTCCCTAGGACAAAATGAAATCTTTAAAATAAATTATAAAGATAACAGGAAATAAAATGAATTTGAAGTGTAAAAACAGGAAAAGCTTTGGAATTGTATTCTTAAGAGCAAATATCAACAGAAATATATCACCAGTGCACTTTAAATGTTGCATACAAAGTAGATTAAATTGTGAATTTTTAAGGTCCCATTTCAGAAAAATAAGAGGTACTAATCATTATGCCACATCCATTTTGGAAATAAAGTGATACCATTCTTTATATTATTCTCAAGTGGATAATAAATATCACCTCCATGTGACTTCCCAAGTGGTTCTAGATACATTGGGCAAATTTTAAAAGGTCATGTGCAAGGTATTCTGTTTAGATCGTCACTTCCAAAGAAATAGATTCTTGGGGTTAGGGGAGTCCATTAATCTGGGTCTGGATAAGGAACTGGAAATGATTTTAATGTAAGTAGCCAGAAGTATAAATAAAAGCTTATTGAGTAATAGAAAACTGGTAAATGATTGAATAAATGGATAAATAAGTATTTATTCAATATGTAAAGCACTGCACAAAACACTGGGGATGTAAATAGAAATTAAGACAGTCCCTTCTCTTAAGAAACTCATGTTTTAAAGGGAGAACCTAACTTAAGGAATATTTTAACCATAAATCACATACAAAGGTCACATAGTCCTTAGGGTCCTCAGGGCAACACAGTTGTTAATGCCTCTTTTTTGATGCCACTCTCACTGATAAAATCATATCAATTTTGGATGTTGAGCCATTTGACAGTGCCTTGGACTTTGGTGGCAAGAATTTTCTGTTTCTTTAGCAGCTATAGCTATAAGCACTTGCAAAAGTTTACTTCCTAGAATGATGGCTGAGGGCATTGACCTGTAAACATTGCTATAACCAAGGCTCTTAGATATTGGGTCCTGTACTGTCTTTATCAGGTCTGAGAGTTTGAACCTTTAAGTGACTGGCAACAAATGGACTGAGACCCCTTGTAGTTTCATTTTTCTGCCTTCCTATGGCATTATGATCTCCCTTTCCATCGTGTTCTACACTCTTCTTTTCTTTCTCCCTTCACTCTCCTGTTTCCCTCTTGCCTTTCTTTCTCTTAGTATTTTTCCTTTCCCATTTTCATAGCTTTCTCTTGAAATGGGTTGATAGAGACAGGCCATTGTCTGGGACTGGGAAAGGAGATTGGGGATGACCTTATCTTTCTCTAAGTCTGAACCCTTCCCCTACTTCCCTAAGAAATGGTAGGAGAAGGGCATAAGAACAGCAACAACAACCACCCACCCTATATACATGCTTTAGCTCATTTCACCTAACTCGTTCTTTCTTACCTATCCGCTACTTCCCACCCAGCAGCCAAGAGAATGAAATGTAATTATTAATAAATTAAGTGCCTAGGTACCAGACACTGTGCTTAGTGCTGGCAAAAAAAGAGGCAAAAGATAGTCTCTGTCCTCAAGGTGCTCACCATCTAATAGGGGAGACAAGTTACAAACAAATATACCCAAAGCAAGCTACATAAAGGATAAATAGGAAATAGTAGAGGGAAGACACTAGAATTAAGAGTAGTTGGTAAAGACTTCATACCGAAGATTGGATTTTAATAGAAACTTAAAGGAAGCCAGGAAAATCAATAGTCAGAGGTGAGAAGGGAGAGCTTTCCAAGCATGGAGGAAAATAAGCAAAAATGCCTGGAGTCAAGAGATGGAAGTCTTATTTGTGGGACTGCCAGGAGGCCAGTGTCACTGAATTACAGTTTGTGTAGGGAAATAAGGTATAAGAATACTGGACAGATAGAAGAAGGCTAGATTATGAAGAATTTCAAATGCCAAATAGAGTATTTTGTATTTAGGCCTGGAGGCAATAGGGAGCTACTGGAGTTTATTGAGCAATAGAGTAAGAGGATTATTATACAGCTGGAAGTTTTATAGGGCTTTGTTCTTTTTGATCCATGTAGCAGGGAGGTGCTATTAACTTCAGTTATAGAAGAGAAAACTGAGCACCTGAGAGATGTTCTCTCTGTAGTCACTGAGTCACACAGCCAAGAAATATCTGGGGCAAGGTTCAAAAGAGTCCTTCCGGCCTCTCCATCACTCTCTCCACTCTCTGATCTATGCTGGGAACTATCATGCGCAGGATCCTGCTTTCTAGGAATTTATTAATAATGGTCTTCTGGAGTCAGTGCTTCTATTCTGTTATCTATCATGGAAAGATGACTTCACTCATGGGAATTTCAAGCCAGGGAGGAAGATACTGACACCATGATATGTTAGTGGGAGAAACAGTTTTGGACAAATTACTTCCTTGACTTTATAAGGCTGGCCTTTGTTATCGATCCCCTTTTCTGAAAGGTATTTAGAAGAGCTGGCTGGGGCATACAGTCCTTATGTAACTCTCTTGCCATTTGATGATCTCATATCTGCTTGAAGACCTCTGGTGACAGGAAACTTCCTGTCTTATGGGGAAAGCCATTCCATTTTGGAATTGTTGTAACAGGAAGATGCTTTTTTGTTAAACCCAAATGTTTCTCCATGTCCCCTGACAATAAGCAAAGCCAGCCTGAATGCTTTTCCACTTGATACATATTTGAAGACAGTAGGATAGTTAGAAACTCTGATTAAAGAAGATGTTTTCTTTAGACATAATGGAGATTAAAAAAGAAAAAAATATTCTGAGACCAACAGAAGCCTACATTAAATAAATCCATTCCCCACTCCCTACGCATATAAAGGATAAGAACATATTTTTTTTCTCTGTACTCACCTCTTTAAGGAACAGTATAATGAAAGTATCAGTAGATAAAAGTTAACATAAGTCAATAATGCTAAGGAAATAATTCTATTTTTATTAACATATGACAGGAATGCCTTTTGTATATATTTATATATTAGGGGGAAGTCAACCCAGGTTATGACATCATTAATAAAGTACTAATTTCAAACTTTCGGGCATTCAGATGTGTGTGTGTGTGTGTGTGTGTGTGTGTGTGTGTATGAATGGATGTTTGTGTTTAAACAGGATAGCTTTTGATTTTGCTGGGGTGGGGTAGCCATGAGATTACTGACCTATGAAAAGCTCCTTCCAACCCAATGATTCTGTCATTCTTGTTAAGCTTTTGCAGTTAGATAATGAAAGGTTTAGGAAATCTACGAAAAAATGGGAAATGGTGCAAAGCAGATGCTGTTACATGTGTTGTCTGCTTCTCACCAGGTAAATACTATAAAAAAAAGAGATTGGTTTTGCTAAGTACTGTATAGAATACAGCTTTCTGTTTACTGATATTTTATATGTGAACGCTTTTTATATACTTGCATAAATATAGAATGCTGCTTTTATAAGAACATGACATATTTCATCACAGAACTACTAAAACAAAAGAATAATTACAACTTTATAGTGTAAGCAAGGGAAATTATATTTTATAGGGAAGAAGAGTATTAAATGCCACAATATGAATTACTTTTTGAGTTATATTACTTCCAAGGCTGGAGGCAACTGTATTTTAATGATAAATACCTCTACACAAATTAAGCTTTCTTTTCATGGGAGCTTGTAAAAAGTACCCTTCAAAGTAAGGGAGAAATGTATCTTATACAGAGCAGTAATTTGCCTTTTTAAAAAAAATATTTATTTGTTTATTTTAATTCCAAGAGCAGTGCTTCCAAGGTTGACAGACTTCAATGTGGGTGAACTTAGAAATAACATTTTATAGTTACCACATGGATCCTGAATATTCTTCAAGCTTATATTATAAGAGTGAATGAAAGCCTTTCAGTCCTTCACACCTTAAAATGAAATAAAAATTTAGGCCTCTGGAAACAGAATACATGGTAGTCTAGCCCTTCAAACTCTTAATCTATTTTGTGACTGAGAAAACCTGTAAACTATTTCAGAATCTGTCCCTCTGTAAAGCTTGATAGAAATAAATATTATTCTATTTAAAAATTTTTTTTCCCTCAGGAATGGAGTCGAGAGATATAGAGGTAGAAATCATGTAAAGGAATCTTGAAAAGGGATCTACTTTTTTTTGTTTGTTTACAGTGTATGCTTGTAGAGTGTTAGGAACAATGTTTCCAATTAATGCCTTTCCTCTCTGCACTTATTTTCATATCTAGATTAGTGGTCATGTGGAGATATTTTAAAATTGACCCTTAGCTGTATTTTTTAACAAAGAGCGATGGATAACAGGGTCAAAATTGGATTGAAAGCAAAATTAAGGAGTAAATAATAACAGTAACATCTTGTATTTAGCCACTAGTGGATTACTTCATGTCACCAGTTATTGACATATATACACATGTATGTACATATATGCCCATATACTATATACATATATTAATATATAGGTTAAAGTCAATTAATAAATGTGTAACTAGCCCTAGCTACTATCCTAGTTGGCACTACAGATATTCCAATTCCCAGTCCAATATGCTATCCACATTGCCTCTCATGCCATCTGATGTTTCCTCTCAAGAGATTGGATGTGTACATAAATACCAGTTACACTTCTACTTTTCTTTCCACTGAAATGTGGAATGTCAATCATTTGCTTGAACACCGTACAGATTGGTTAAATATTATGATTGGAGCTGACATCTGCCAATTTAGAAATGGTGATGATTTAGTTTAGATTTGGTGCTACTGTTTTGACAGACTTGAAGACAAAATTTCCTGGGGAGGGGGTGTAGTTGGCAAATTTTGCCAGTGCCTACAATGAAGTAGGCAAAATGACAAGTATTTGTGTCCAATTCATAAAAATTTTTGCTTATAAGTATTTTTGCTATAATTTATTTTTCTATTGTTAATTTATTCAAACTATTCATTTAGGGACCTTATACAGCAATTTTTATTTATTCTCTCCCAAAGCTTTGAAACAAATTATGTGAGTAGATCTACATTTATATATAAAAAAATTCTCTAGGAATCATGTCATCAGCCTAGCTGAGTGTTTAAATGAATAAGTAGGTAAGTCAGAGGAGTAATACTTCATTAATATGTATGTGTGTGTATATATATATATGTGTGTGTGTGTGTGTGTGTGTGTGTGTGTGTGTGTGTGTGTGTGTTCACATGCATATGCCAATCAATAAACATTTATGAAGTACTTACTCAGTGCCAGACACTGAGCTAAGTGCTAGGGATACAAAGAAAGGCAAAAGAGAGTCCCTGTTGTCAAGGTTCTCACAGTCTAATGGGGGAAAACATTCAGACAACTATGTATAAACAGGCTTTATACAGAATAATAGAGGGAAAGCACCGGAATTAAGAGGGAGTGGGAATGGCTTCCTGCAGAAGGTAGTATTGAAGGAAGCCAGGGAATTCTGGAGGTGGAGAAGAGGAGGGAGACCATTCCACACATGGATTCTAGCCCAAGAAAATACCTGGAGTCAGGAGATGCAGTGTCTAGTGTAAGGAATAGAAGGAGGCAAGTGTCACTTCATCGCAGAGTACATAGGAGTGACTAGGGCTTAAGAAAACTGAAAAAGGTAGGAAGGTCTGGGTTATGAAGGACTTTGAATGCCAGAGGATTTAATATTTGATCCTGGAGATGATAAGGAGTCATTGGCCTCTAGTGGGGAATGGTTGGACCTGTATTTTAGGAAAATCACTTTGACAGCAGAATGGAGGATGGAGCTAGATTGGGGGCTAGATGGATCATCCAGCAGATTAGTGAAGGTGTGAAGAGTTAAGGGCCTATTCCAGGGTGGTGGCAGTTTCAGAGGAGAAAAAGTAATGTATTTTGAGAGATGTTACAAAGGTAAAAATCAACAGGGCTTGGCAACAGGTTGGAAATGGGAGGGGTAGTGAGAGAGAGTGAGATGATATAGGTTTCAAGCCTGTTGGACTGGGAGAATGGTGGTGTGCCCTCAACAGTAATAAGGAAGTTTGGAATGGGAGAAGGTTTAGGAAGAAAAATCATTAGTTCTGTTTAGAAATGTTGAGTTTAAGATATCAACAGTATATCCAGTTGGAGATGTCTAACGCAAGACTGGAGTTTAGCCGAGATGTTAGGGCCAGATAATTCAATTAGAGAAAAAATTAGCATAGATATGATAACAAAGTCCAAGGGAGCTGTAATCACCAGGTGAAATATCATCACCAGGTTATAGAAAAGAAGAAGGAATAGGAGAGAGCCCTGAGGGTCACTCAAGATTATCCAGTGTGACCTGGATGAAGATCCAGTGAAGAAAACTGAGAAGGAGCCATCAGTTAGGTAGGAAGAAAACCAGAAGAAACCTAGAGACCAGAGAATATCAGTGAAAAGGGTGATTAACAGGCTGCAGAGAGGATTAGTATTTTTTAAAAGGCATGAAATTTGGCAATTAAAAGATTTTTGGTGAGAGCAGTTTCATTTGAATCATGAAGTTATTATAGACAGTTATATACAGTTATAGTCAGTGTATGTACATAAACACACATATTCAATTAAATAAACTTGAATGCTGTACTTTGTATGTTTCATTACAGAAGATCAACTTGGGAAAACTAGAAAAGGAGTCACTGAAATACTTCCCCCTTTTCAAAGAAGGAGACCCACTCGCCTTCTGGAAATTGGAGCTCCTTTCTACCAGGATAATATGCTTCAGGTCAAAGTCTATTGGAAAAAGTCTGAAGGTATGTGAAATATTCCTTGACAATCCAGAATAACAACTGCAAAAAAGGACATAAATGGGATCCCTGATTCCAGCCCCTCTTTGACCTCTAATTCATTCTACAGTTATCTTCCTAAAACTTAACATTTCAACCTTTCTTTGCTTAAATATTTCTATTGCTTCCCACAGGCTATAAGATAATATTCAATCTTTCAGTCCTTCTCTTCAATTCCCTCTTAGGTCTAGCTCTAATCTATATTTTCAGCATCATTGTCCACTGCTTTTCTTCATATGTGCTGTAGGCACAATGCCCCACATGCCTTTCTCCAAGAACATCCTTTACTTTCACAACTCTGTCTCACTCATGGTGTTACTTCCACTAGAATAAGCACCCTTGCAACAATCTCCATCTTACAAAATTCTACCTGCCCATCAAAGCCGACTCTAATATCCACATTCTTCATGAAATTTTCAGGACACCTCTTCCAAACTGTATTCATCTGTACTTCCAGTGCACTGTATAACTTTCTAAAAGCATCTATCTCTCTTTTTCATGTCTGTATCTGTAGCTATAGACCAATAGATCATAAATGTTGGTTTACTTGTCTTTTCTCCTCTGTTAAATTATAAAGTCTGCAAGGAGAAACACTGTGCTTTAAAAAAAATTCTTCTTAGTTATAGCACATTGCTTTTCACATAGTAATAATACCTCAATAACTATTCATTGCATTGAATTGAATGCACAATATGAATGGATGAACTATTTGAATGCCATGAATTTTGGTTGTATCTCTTGTGTGGACTTGACATTATTAACTTGGACTTGAGTTGGTGTTATGTGCTCAGTCAAGTTCCATGAAAAGCCATCTTTTTGTTGTGTAATTTGATGAATGTTGGCTTGAAATAAAAGTTTCACTCATGTCCTCTCCTCTTTACAGAAACTATCATATCATGCTCTTTGGATTGTGGTATCTTTAGTGGCTTAGACCAAGGCATTTGTAAGGCCTTTATAAGAAGGAAAATTTAATTTGTAAATATATTCAAAGGCAAATATGTTATAATATATTACCTGCATTACTACTTCAGAGAAATCATTCAATAATTATTATCAATCAGTTGCTATATATAAGAGGACTGCAAAGACATAAAACCTGGATCCTTGTTTTTATAGTTTATTTAGTTATCTAATAAATCATAGAACTGGTAAGCTTTGATAGGGGTAGACATCTTACAAAATCTGCAACTTGAGTAGGGGACATAATTGAGGGAGCCAAAGGAAATAAGGTGGTTAAGAATTGAGCTTTCACCTAAGTTATTTTGTCTAGGGCCTATTTTGCATATATTTGTTCCCTAACTCCGCTTCAAGAAATATAGAAGTACCGACTTTATTATGTTTTAATCTTTCAGTCTGCAATGCAAATGCCATAAAAGTTAAGTATCTAATTAGATTTGAATGTTAAAAAGACATTAACCTTCATTGCATTACTGAAGTAAGTTGTTAGATACTGCTTCAGTTTAGTGATGTAATCTATATCCCACATTATTTAAATGCATGCTAATTAAGAAAGTGGATTTTTCTTAAAGTAGTCTAAAAATATCCATCAAATTGATTAAATGATATAGCAAAAGAATCTAAAATCTGATTCAACAGCTCAAAATAGCAATGCTTTTTATTAGGACCTTACAACTATTTTCTCCTTATAGTTTAAAAGAATATATAGAGATGTTATAGAATGTAACATTTCTTTGATTAATTGCTGACGAATGACATAACAAACTTCATTCTCACATTTGCTTCACCATCACAAGACAGTCTCAACAACAGAAAATGGTTCTCAGAGCAAAGAAGTGACCTTACTCTTGGCATTTATTCAATCTCTGTCTTCTCTACTGAACTTTGTGCCAAGTCTAGTCATATTTTTAGTGACTTGGACAGTACCAGCCTACTAGGGAGCAGAATGAGATGATGAGCTAATTTAACACTGGGTATCCAGCATCCATTGGTCATCAATGACTTGTTTCACTAATTCAAAATAGGCAAAAATGATCTGGTAACTGAGCTATCATTAATCATGCTCGTTCTCAATCTCTGACCCGTTTAAGTCTCAGGGAATGTTTCCTAATGCAGTTTTCATTTAAAATGAACAACATTTAGATGTAATTAAGATACTTAATAAATATGTACATTGGCCTAAGAAGAATCTTTGAAGTTAACAATGTAACAATGTTCTCTACAGGTATGCTAAAGTATGATTTATTTATTTGGACAAAGAAATGTGTGCAATGCTATTGAATAATTGGTCATTGAACTCTGTAGTTAGATGCTATCACTCACTGTAACATTACTTTTCTTGAAAAAAACAATGTTTTTCGTAAATGTATATTCACAGAAGAATTTTTCAAATATGTACTCATTTTTGTGACCAAAAATCAACTTGCTTCTGTATGTGGTTTAGCATCATTCACTTCTCTAACTGTTTATGCTAAAAATGCAAAGCCAGACTTTTATTATTCTTCGATCATCCACAGAAATTTTTGAAGTGAGAAGGATTTGAAGTGAGATTAGATTCATTCAGTCAAGAACAACAATAATAACAATAATTTATATAAATATATGTAAAAAAGGAGAAGGATGTGGAAGAAGAGAAGGATGATGATGAGGGGAAAGTTTAGAGACCTGGCCAAGAAGATCAAAATAATGTAGGATCATGACGAAACGCATCCTTTTCTCTCTGCAACTGGAATTGTACCACAGATACATTTGGTGAGGTGGCCTTCTAAGAATGAGATTACAATCCAATATTTTTATCCAATTAGCAAAAAGGTACACATGCCTTTCATACACATTTGCAATAAGCTGCAGAATATTGTGAGTAAAAAGAATACCAATGATCCCTGGGAGAGTTTTTATGTAAGCCCCAAAGAAAAAGAAGATGATGATAACAAAAATGGCTGTCTAAGGACCAGGTCATTGTCACAAGTTGAGTCCTCACTTTCACTCAATCCACATAACTAATCCATTACCAAATATCATTCTATCTTCACAATGTCTTTCATATATGTTCCCTTATATAGCCACAACCATACTTCAGACCCTTGTTACTTCTTATTGGACTACAAGAAGAGTTTTCTCATTGTTATCCCTGCCTCATGTATCTCCCTACTGTCCTGCACCCTTTATTTACCAGTGAAGGTGATTTTTCTAAACTACAGGTCTGACCCTTTTACTGTCCCTGACCAATGATTTCCAGTGACTCTCCATCAAACTCACGTTTAAATTCAAAATGTCCTCTGTTTGGTATTTAAAGCTTTTCATAAACTGGGTCCTTTCTATCTTTCCAATGTTCTTATACTTATTCCCCTCTTTAAGCTCTATGATCCAACCATCATGGCCTACTTACAGTTCTTCTAACATGACACTCTTATCTTCCATTGCTGTGCCTTTTTAGTAGCTGATCCTCATGTTTGGAATGCTATGCCACCTTAGCTCTTTTAGTTTCCTTGGCTTTCCTCAAGGCTTAGCTCAAATCCCACCTTCTAGAGGGAACCTTTCCCAGTCTCCTCTGCTATTAGTGCCTTTCCATTTCAGATTACATTCATTTACTTGGAATATATCTCCTAAGTACCTAGGTATTTGCATATTATATTATTCATTAAAATGTACCTTCCTTGAAGTCAGGAACTGCCCTTCTTCTTTAGTAGTATCTTCTGCAGTTATAGTGCTTGGCCAGAAGTGAGCAATTAATGTTTGTTGACTGTTGACTGATTGACAAGTCATCATAGAAGTTTTATTCTTTAAAAAACCTAAAATTAGTGATTAATCAGTATCTACAAGCAAACAATAGAAATATGAAACATACAGCACTGCAGGTGGTAACAATTTAGCACCTGCTGGAAAATTAGCAACATACTACATAGCAGCTAGAATCATGAGTAAGAAGTTTACTGTTTTTCATGGACTGACAGATAAACCATCGCCATACTGCAAATATGGTGCTTAAAATATCCTGGAGAATTCTAGAGACACATTATACCAGAACAAGATCATTACCCCCAAACTTAACCATTATCTAAAATCATCCAGATGTAGAAGTGATGCATCAAACACCTGCTACAGCATTTTAGATGAATTCAACATGCTAAGTACTCATGATCTTTAAGCTATGTAGAACAAAAAAAGTCCAAAATATCCAAACCTCTATGAAAAGATAAAGAAAATGTGGAAATAGAATGAAGTGCCTATTATCTCTCTATTGACCTGTCTGCTAATGTAGTTGCATACTTTCAGTGAAATCAGATATGGGCTTGAATTTTGGTGGAGATGCCTGTGATTGATCCTGAAGTCTTAACACATGCAAAGTGTGTGTTCTATTACCAATATTTTTAACCTTCATAATATTATTTCCTCCTAAAAATCCCTCAATTTTCTTCCTTTCATTATTTCTTTAATTACATAATCAAAGCACAATGTTTCCTGTGGCATAGGAGATTACTGTAACAATGAAGAGGGCATGGGAGCAAAACATTTTAAGAAGCTCATCTGCAGGTTCTGTAGGCCACTGAGTCTCAAACTAAAAAAAATTCTCCAGACATTTAAAAACATATATCATATTCATTGGCATCATTAACATGAAATATGTAGTTTTAAAAACATGCATACATAAATTTTTCTATTCTGTAGAAAAATGCCTTTGAAGTAGATATATTATACTTCTAAGGATTTGGAAGCAACATGGAATCCACAATACTAATTTGTTTTGTGTCAGTGAAAGGAACATTTTGTGGCTAGGTTTTCTGGCCATTTGGACTGTGTAAAATTAGAAATGTTGAGTTATTTATGTTATTTAGAACCATCTCAAATAATTTTTAACTCCTTTACACAAGTAGCTAAACATTCATGGAAAAGAATCTACTTCAGCAGTGGATACTCTGAAGTGCAAGCTTAATGCATTAAATACATGTGATAGCAAGGTCAAGGGGAAAAAAAGAATCTCATTCAGTAATAAAGGCTAAATTATGAAA